GGACTGTAAAAAAAAAAAAATACTATGAACAACTCTATTATAACAAAATAAACAACCTGGAGAAAATACACATATTCCTAGAAAAATACAACCTTCCAAAACTCAATCAAGAAAATTCTAAAAATCTCAATAGGCTGATAACTATGGAGGAAATTGAAGCAGTCATCAAAAAACTTCCAGGAAGCAAAAGCCCCGGGCCAGACAGCTTCACAGGGGAATTTTACCAAACATTAAAAAAAAAAAAAAAAAAAAAAAAAAAAAAAAAAAAAACACAACTATAGCTTATCCTTCTCAGACTATTTTAAGAAATTCAAGAGGAAGGCACATTTCCAAACTTTTTCCACGAAGTTAACATTACCCTAATCCCAAAACCAGATAAAGGCAACACAAAGAAAGATAAATACAAGCTAATATTCCTGATGAACATACATGCTAAAATCTTCACCAAAATGCTAGCAAATCGGATTCAGCATTACATTAGAAATGACCAAGTGGGAATTATTCTTGGGATGTAAGGCTGGTACAATATCTGCAAATCTATAAATGTGATACATCACATGAAAATTTGAGATAAAAATCATATAATCGTATCAATCAATGCAGAAAAGGCATTTGACAAAACCCAATACCTTTTCCTGAGAAAAACTCTCATCAAGGTGGGAATAGAAGGATCATACCTCAACATAATAAAAGCCTTATATGACGAACTTACAGCAAAAATCATACTCAATGGGCAAAACCTAAAACCATTTCCCCTAAGAACAGGAACAAGACAGGGATGCCCACTTTCACCATTCCTGTTCAACATAATATTGGTAGTGCTAGCCGTGGCAATTAGAAAAGAAGAAGAAATAAAAGGCTTCCAAAAAGGAAAATAAGTAAAATTGTCATTGTTCGCAGATGACATGATACTGTACATAGAAAACCCCAAAGACTCCATAAAAAAATTACTAGTCTTAATAAATGAATTTGGCAATGTAACAGGATACAAAATTAACAACCAGAAATCTATGGCTTTTTTATACACTAATAATGAACTCACAGAAAGAGAAACTAAAAAAAAAAACAAAACAAAATAAAACAAAACAAAACAAAACAAAAAAAACAATCCTATTTATCATTGCACCAAAAAAATTAAAAGACCTAGGAATAAATTTAACCAAGGAGGTAGAGGACCTGAACTAAGAAAATTACAGGTGCTAAAAAAAGAGATAGAGGAATATACCTTGTTCATTGGTAGAATAAACATTATTAAAATGTCTGTACTACCCAAAGCAATCAAAATATTAAATGTAATCCCCATTAAAATACCAAGGGCATACTTCAAAGAGCTAGAATATACTCTCCAAAAATTCATCTGGAATAAAAAAAGACCCTGAAGAACGTGAGAAGTCTTGACAAAGAAGAACAAAGATTGAGGGATCACAATGCCAGATATCAAGTTAGACTACAAAGCCACTGTCCTCAAAACTGCCTGCTACTAGCACAGACATATAGACAAATAGAACAGAACAGAGAATCCAAAATTTGACCCAAGCCATTATGATTAGTTCATATTTGACAAAGGAGGCAAGAGCATACAGTGGAATCATGACAGTCTCTTCAATAAATGTGTTGGGAAAACTGGACAAATCCATGCAAACAATGAAACTAGACCACCAACTTACACTATACACAAAAATAAACTCAAAATGGATAAAGAACTTAAACATAAGATGGGAAACCATAAAAATCTTAGAAGAAGCCATAGGCAAGAAAATAGCAGAAATTTGTCATAGCAATATATTTACTGACACAACTGCTAGGCCAATGGAAACTAAGGAGAAAATAAACAAATGGGAATACATCTAAATAAAAAGCTTCTGCACAGCAAAAGAAATCATCAACAAAATAAGAAAGCCCACTCCATGGGAGAACATATTTGCCAATGTTGTCTCCCATAAGGGTTTAATATTCAAAATTTATAGGGAACTCATACAACTTAACAAAAGGAAGACAATCCAATAAAAAAAAATGGGTAAAGAGACACTTTTCAAAAGAGGACATAAAGAAGGCCAAAGGCATATGAAAACAGGCTCAAAGACACTAATCATCCAAGAGATGAAAATCACAACAATGAGGTGTTTTCACCCCATCTCACCCCTCTCAGAATGGCTATCATCAACAAATTAACAAACTACAAGTTCTGGAGAGGATGTGGAGAAAAAGAAACTCTCTGCATTGCTGGTGGGTATGCAGATTCATGTAGCCACTGTAGAAAATAGTATGGCATATAGTCAAAAAATTAAAAATGGAATTTTCATTTGACCCAATAATGCCACTTCTAGGAATACATCCCAAGAAACCAGAAGCACCAATCAGAAAGGATATGTGCACCCCTATGATCATTGTGGCACAATTTACCATAGCTAAGATTGGAAAAGCTTAAGTGCCCATCAGCAGATGAGTGGATTAAAAAACTGTGGTATATCTACACAATGGAATAATATACTGCGGTAAAAAAGGAGTTCTTACCATTTGCAACAGCATGGATGGAACTGGAGAGCATTATGCAAAATAAGTCAGTCAGAGAAAATAAATATCACATGATCTCACTTATTTGTAGAGTCTAATGAACAACATAAACTGATGAACAAAAATAGAACCAGAGTCATAGAAGCATTGAACTGACTATCCAATTTATGAGGGAAGGGGGGGATGAGGGGGAAAGAGGTCAACCAAAGCACCATTATGCATGCATATAAGCATAACCAAAGGACACAGATTAGGGGGTGAGGGCATGTGCTTGGGGTGTGGGCAGTCAAGGAGAGGTCAATGGGGGAAAAAGGAAACTTACATAATACTTTAAATAATAAAGAATTGAAATTTAAAAAAAGACAACTAGCCGAAATCGGTTTGGCTCAGTGGTAGAGCATCGGTCTGCGGACTGAAAGGCCCCAGGTTCGATTCCGGTCAAGGGCATGTACATTGGTTGCAGGCACATCCCTGGTAGGGGGTGTGCAAGAGGCAGCTGGTCGATATTTCTCTCTCATCGACGTTTCTAGCTCTCTATCCCTCTCTCCTCCTCTCTATAAAAAAAAAATCAATAAAAAAATATATTAAAAAAGACAACTTGTGTTGGTGCTGGTATGGAAAATAAGGAATCCTTGTACACTGTTGGTGAAAATGTAAATTTGTGCATCCATTATGAAAAATAGTATGGAGATTCCTCAAAACATTAGCAGTCCCTCTTCTGGTATATAACGAAATGATATTAAATCAGTACCTCAAAGAGGTATTTTCACTTCCATGTTCATTGCAGCAATATTTACATTGACTAAGATGTAAACATAACCTAAGTATCTGTTGACAGATGGATAGGTAAATAAATTTATACACATTTTATATACATTTATACATAAATTAATATATACTTATCTATAATAATAAAAGCATAATATGCTAATTAGACCAGACATTTTTCCAGATGAAGCCAGGGCTGCAATGGCTGAACCCCTTGCATGAATTTTGTGCAAGAGTAGGCTTTCCTTCCCCCAGCTGTCAGCACTGGCTTCCCTCTGGCACCTGGGACCTGGGCTTCCCTTACAGCCCTGGCTTCATCCAGAAGGTCATCTAGAAGGATGTCCAGTCTAATTAGCATATTATGCTTTTATTATCTATACTAATAAAAGGGTAATATGCAAATTGGTCATGACACCCTCACAGTAACAACCAAACAGCAGACGACTGACAAGCAGGCTGTATGGGGCTACCAGGACACCAGCGGGGTTAGTAAGGGACAACCAAACAATTGACCAGCAGGCTGTGTGGGGCAACCAGGCCAGCAGGGGTGTTAGCAAGGGGCAACCAGGCCAGCAAAGGGGGGGCTGTGAGGGGCTACTAGGCCAGTGGGGGGCCACTTAGGGGTAACCAGGCTGGCAGGGGGGGCAGTTAGCGGTTATCAGGCTGGCAGGCAGAAGCGGTTAGGGATGATCAGGCTGGCAGGCAAGTGATCAGTTAGGAGCCAGTGGTCCTGGATTGTGAGGGATGTCTGACAGTCAGACATGCCCCAAGGGGTCCTGGATTGCAGAGGATCCAGGCTGAGCTGAGGGCCCCCCCTTTCTCTCCTGCACAAATTTAGTGCACCAGGCCTCTAGTTATTGATAAAGGATTATTATTAGCTATAAAAAAGAGATCTTGCCATTTGCAAAAATATGGATGAAAATGGGGTACCTTATGCTAATTGAAATAAGACGCACAAAAAAAGTACTGCATGATCTCACTTATATGTGGAATTTTAAAAAGTCAAGTACATAGAAGCAAAGAGTAGGATGATAGTTACCAGGGAGGGGAGGTGGGGAAAATGGAGAGATAGTTATTAAAGGGTATAAAGTTGCAATTACATAGGATGAATAAGTTTAGAGATTTAAAGTACAACACAATTATAACTAGTAATATTACACTGCTTACTAGAAATTTGCTAAAATATTAAATTTCAGTGTTCTTATCATACACAACAAAAATGTCACTATTTGAGGATATGTGAATTAGCTTGATTTTAGTAATAATTTTACTATGTATATCAAAACATATACTTTAAATATAAACTGTGTGGCCAGATTATTATGATCTCTGAACACATAATAATCTGGCCACTCAATGTATATCCTATATAATAAAAGGCTAATATGCAAATTGTCCCCTCGGCTAAGAGTCCGACCAACCACCCAAGTCCTCTCCATATGGCCAGGTTGGCTGGACACCATCCATGAATGAATTCATGCTCTGAACCTCTAATAATCTGAGTGGCCAGATTATTGTATATTCAGAGATCATAATAATCTGGCCACTCAGTGTATATGTATCATTGAAACATAGAAGAAAATAAATCCATTTATTTTAATATTTTTGACCAAATATGAGTTTAGACTTGAAGTCCAGTATGCTGAAAAGAAACTAAAAATACATCAAATTTACAAAAGCTATAATTACGATGTGCAACATAAAAAAAAAAAAAATACCTTGAGAGCTTCCTTCAGACAAACAGATGGATGCTTCATCATTTCTATCATTATCTTCTTCTACTTCAGGACCAGCTTCCTCTCCTGTTGTGAGTGCAGACAAAGAACCAGACTCTGGATGCTCAGAAAAATCAGCAGGGCCTCCCCTTGGAGGTGGAACTTCAATCCCCATTAAACGATATTTTCTTCTTCTATTCCCAATCCAAGTCTTTATAAGAGAAATATAAGAGGAAGCTTTGTAAACATAGAAACTTAGCAGTCTGATCATTAAAATAATGAATGAATGCTTTTTAAAACATGATTAAAAAGATGAAATAGGTACTTAGAATAATGAAATTTTATTATTGCTTAATAAGTTAAAAATAAAATAATTATTTTCATTTTTTACTATCTTATTAGCAGAAATATTTATTTAAATGTGCAGACTTTCAAGAAACATTTATTTATTTATTTATTTATTTATTTATTTATTTATTTATTTATTTCTGTAGAAAATAATCCACCAAATATTTCAAAGGGAACACTAATTGGTTCCTTCTCTAAAGGGACCAGGCATATAGCTGAAATTATAATTCATCTCCTATTTTGAATATTGCTCTTCATAGGTGAAAATGTGGTTTATATTAACTTTGTTTGGCTCCATGTTACCTGGTTATTTCAAGTATTCTAAATTTTCACTTTATTGGATTTAGAACCATTTAAAATGTTTTTTTTTTTTTTTTCATTAAAATAAGTTTAAAATCACAGGAAGTTGAAGAGATAGATCTTCATTCAGTTGCCTCCAATTATATTTTTACATAATTATAACATAAAAACAAAACAGGAAATATATTACAAAATATGTGTATACACTTCCATGTTCCTTTATAACACCACTAGGGGCCCAGTGCACGAAGTTAGTGCACTGAGGGGTGGGTGTCCTTAATGCCAGCCTACACCCTCTCCAATCTGTGACCTCTGTGGGATCAGGCCTAAACCAGCAGTTGGACATCCCTCTCACAATCTGGACTACTGGCTCCCAACTGCTCGCCTGCCAGCCTAACCCCTCCACTGCCAGCCTGATAGACACCTAACTGCTCCCCTGCAGGCCCAGTTTCCCCAAATTGCCTTCCCTTGCAGGCCTGGTCAACCCCAACTGCCCCAACTGCCCTCCCTTGCCAGCCTGTTCGCCCCTAACTGCCCTCCCCTGCAGGCTGGTTGCTCCCTCCTGCAAGCATGGTTGCCCCTAACTCCCCTCCCCTGCAGACCTGGTGTTCTCCAACAACCCTCCCTCCCCTGCTGGCCTGATCACCCACAACTTCCTACCCCTGCTGGCCATCTTGTGGTGGCCATCTTGTGACCACATGGGGGCAGCCATCTTGTGACCACATGGGGGCAGCCATCTCATGTGAGGGTATTATAGTTAATTTGCATATTCCCTCTTTATTATATAGGTTTGTTATTCCCCCTCCTTCCTACCATTTCCAATATTTGGCAAATAATCTATATTTTTAAGAATTCTATCTAATAAAAGGGAATATGCTTGTTGACCCCCACATTGTTGCAAAAGATGGCAGCACCCCCAGCCAATAAGGAGGAAATATGCTAATTGTTGTACTGCCCTCAAAGATGCGGCACCCACAGCCAATAAGGAAGAAATATACTAATTGTCTGCCATGCAATATTCAAAGATGGCAACACCCTTAGCCAATAAAGAGGGCATATGTTAAATGGCAGCCTTGTCCTCAAAGATGGCAGCACCCACAGCCAAAAGATGGCAACCCTGCTGGTGCACCTGCCTCTGGAGTCCCTCAGTCCTTTTAGTCCCCCAACCGCCCAAAGTCAGCCTGAGGCACAGGCAAGTCACAGATGGTGGCTGCCCAGCCGCCCATGGCTGCCCAAGGCACAGGTAACCAGGACTGGCCAAGGCTTGCACTGCCGCCAGTGGCAGCAGCAGAGGTGTGATGGTGCATTGCCTTCTCCTGATTGCCAGGTCATCTCCTGCCCCTGAGGGCTCCCATACTGTGAGAAGGGGCAGGCTGGGCTGAAGGACCCCCCCCCCCCCTCCAGTGTCTGAATTTTTATGCACTGGGCCTCTAGTGATATATAAATGGAGCCATATAGCATGTGACCTTTAATTTTTATGTATTTATTTACTAGAGGCCCAGTGCATGAAATTCACGCACTGGGGGAGGGTCTCTCAGCCTGGCCTCCTCCCTCTTGCAGTCTGGAACCCCTTGGGTGATGTCCACCTGCCAGCTTGTGACTGGATGGCCTTCTGTTGCTGTATGTCTTGCTGCTTAAGCTTCAGTAGCTACTGCACGTGCACAGGCTGGGCAACCACAATCTGTCCTGTGAACACCATCGAGTGGAAGAGTCAAGTGTGGAGGCAGGCTCTCCTTGAGTTTCTCTGAGTCACTGAGTTGTTCAGATTGACTGCCTTCTACAGAGAACTGCACCAGAATTGGACCTAAGCCAGCAGTCAGTCATTCCTCTCACACAGGGACCCAGAATTGGACCTAAGCCAGCAGTCAGACATCCCTCTCACACAGGGACCCATCGGGGGATGTAGCAGTGCACCAAGCAGCAGGCAGCCAAAAAGGAGTACAAATCAGGACTGGGCACCACACTGCTGATACTCATCCTGACCCACTTCTGTTGCTCAGTAGTGTTGCCATGGAATTAGGAGATGCTCCCACTGTGGCAGCTGCACTCACTATCTGTGAGCCAAGCTTCTGGCTGAGTGTTGCTCCCCCTGTGGGAGTGCACTGATCACCAGGGGGAAGATCCTCCATTGAGTGTCTGCTCCCTCATGGACAGTGTGCATCACAGCAACTGATGTTTCCATCAGGAATTCTGCAGTTCGGTCAATTTGCTTATTAGGGTTTTATTATATAGGATTTTGCATGTGACTTTTTTTATTGTATAAAGTTTTACTTATGTCTCCTTTTTCCCATGATTAACCCCACACCAGCCATTCCCATCTTTATGAGCAACCCCCCAGAGCCCCATTCTCTGTGTCCATTGGTTATTCTAATATGCATGCATACCAGTTCTTTGATTGTTCTCTAAATCACCTCCACCCCCCCCCACTCTCCGCCCCCTTCCCTGCCATTTATTTTTGTTCATTAATGTTGATCATTATATTCCACATATGAGTGAGATCATGTGATATTTATCTCTCTCCAACTGGCTTATTTTGATTAGCAAAATGCTCTTCAGTTCTATCAATGCTGTTGCAAATTGTAAAAGTTCCTTACTTTTTATACCATTGTGTAGATTAAAAAACTACAGTTTTTTAATTCACTCATCAACAGATTGACACTTAGGTTGTTTACAAATCTTAGATATTGTAAATTGTGCTGCTATGAACATCGGGGTACATATATCCCTTCTTACTGGTGTTTCTGGTTTCTTGGGATTACAAGGTCAAATGGGAGTTCCATTTTTAACTTTTTAAAAATATTTTTATTGATTTTTTACAGGAAGGAAGGGAGAAGGATAGAGAGTTACAAACATCAATGAGAAAGAAACATCAATCAGCTGCATCCTGCCCACTGCCCACTGGGGATGTGCCCACAACCAAAGTACATGCCTTTGACCAGAATCAAACCTGGGGCCCTTGAGTCCACAGGCCGACACTCTATCCACTGAGCCAAACCACTTAGGGTGCATCTTTAACTTTTTAATGAAACTCCATACTATCTTCCACAGTGGCTACACCAGTCTGCATTACTACCAATAGTGCACAAGGGTTCCTTTTTCTCCACATCCTTGCCAGCACTTGTCATTTGTTGATTTGTTGATGATAGCCATTCTGTCTGGTGTGAGATGGTAACTCATTGAGTTGTGTCTCTCTGATTATTATTGACTTTGAGTATGTTTTCATATCTCTTTCAAAAAGTGCCAATTTAGGTCCATTCCCCAATTTTTAATTGGCTCATTTATCTTCCTTTTGTTAAGTTGTATGAGTTCTCTGTACATTTTGGAGATTAAACCCTTATTGGAGATAACATTGGCAAATATGTTCTCTTATGCAGTGGGCTTTCTTGTTGTTTTGTTGATATCTTTTGCTGTGCAGAAGCTTTTCATTTTGATAGTCCCATTTGTTTATTTTCTCTTTAGTTTCCATTGCCCTAGAAGTTGTGTCAGTAAAGATATTGCTATGATATATTTCAATATTTTGCTGCCCATATAATCTTGTAGGATTTTTGTGGTTTCTCACCTTATATTTAAGTCCTTGAGCCATTTTGAATTTATTTTTCTGTATGGCATAAGTTGGTGATCCAGTTTCATTTTTTTTTTTTTGATGTATGACCAAATTTTCCAGCACCACTTATTGAGAAGACTATCTTGACTCCATTGTATGTTCTTGCCTTCTTTGTCAAATACTAATTGAATATAATGGCTTGGGTCGATTTCTGGATTCTCTGTTCTGTTATGTTGGTGTATATGTCTGTTTTTGTGCCAATACCAGGCTGTTTTGAGAACCATGGCTTGGTAATATAGCTTAATATCTGGTATTGAGATACTTCCAATTTTTTCTTCTTTCTCAGGATTGCTGTGGCTATTGAGGATCTTTTTTTATTCCAGATGAATTTTTGAGAGTTGGTTTTAGATCTTTGAAGTATGCTATTGGTATTCAATGGAAATTACATTGAATCTGTAGATTGTTTTGGGTAATATGGACATTTTAATGATGTTGATTCTACCAATTGATGAACACAGTATTTTCTTCCATTTGTTTATGTCTTCCTCTATCCTTTATTTTTTTTTCATCCTGTAATTTTCTGAGTATAGGTCATTTACCTCCTTGGTTAAATTTATTCCTGAGCATCTTCATTTTTTTTTTGTGTGTGTGTGTGTTTCTGTTGCAATGATAAATTGGATTATTTAAAAATTTCTCTTTCTGTGAGTTCATTATTGGTGTATAAAAAAGTCATAGATTTCTGAGTGTTAATTTTTCATCCTGCTATCTTGCCAAATTTATTTATTAGTTATAATAATGTTTTGATAGAACACTGTGAAAGCAGTGCTAAGAGGAAAGTTCTTAGCATTAGGCCTACTTCTAAAAAAACAAAAACAAGAAAAACTGGTAATAAATCATCTAACTTTGAAACTTTAAGAATTAGAAAGAGAGCAACAAGAAAAGCCCAGAGTAAGCAGAAGGAAGGAAGTAATAAAGATCAGAGTGGAAATAAATAACATAGAGAACAAACAAACAAACAAACAAACAAAAACAATACAAAAAGATTAATGAAAGCAAGAGCTGGTTCCTTGAAATGATAAGACAGACTAACTTATAGCCAAGCTCACCAGAAGTAAAGAGAGAGGACCAATATAAACAAAATTAGAAATTAAAAAGGCAAAATAAGAACAGATCCAACAGAAATACGAAGAATCATTAAAAAATACTATAAACAGCTCTATTCCAACAAACTGGTCAAACTAGAAGAAATGGATATTCCTAGAAAAAATATGACCTTCCAAAACTCAATCAAGAAAATACAAAAAAATCTGAATACACCAATAACTATGGAGAAAATTGAAGCAGTAATAAAAAAAAAAACTTCCAACAAAGGCATTGGGCCAAACAGCTTCACAGACGAGTTTCATCAAACATTTAAAGTAGAATTAAAATTTCTCCTCCTCAGACTATTCCAAAAAGTTCAAGAGAAAGGCATACTTCCAAGCTTTTTCTATGAAGCCAGCATTACCCATCCACGGCCACCTCCGCCACCATCTCTGTGGCTGTGCGCTGCCACCACCGCTGCACTCCTTACCTGGTATGCCCTATCTGCTGCATTCACTGCCCTTGCTGCTTCCTGGAAATGCCACTGTGCACCTCACCACACCCTGCCCTGCATGCAATGCCAGTGCTTTCCCTCCAGCAGCTGCAGCTGCCTTGCTTTCCACTTTCCCTCCCTCTTTCTTCTATGTTGTCTTCAGTCTTCACTCCTCCTTTCTTCCTTGTATACATATTAACCGCCATTTTTGTTGGGTTAACTTGTACACCCACTCTGATTGGCTTGTGGGTGTGGCTTGTGTAGCAGAGTGATGGTTAATTTGCATAGTACTCTATTATTAGGTTAGATGTGGTTCTTTGTGACTAGTTTCTTTCACTAGCATAATGTTGTCAAGATTCATCTATTTTGTAGCATATTTCAGTATTTAATTTCTTCACATGGCTCTATAATAGTCCATTATAGGCATATGTAACATTTTGTTTACCCATTGACTTGATGGACATTTGTGTGTTTTTTTCCTACTCTTTGGTATTATGAATAACGCTGTTAAGAAAATCCATATATAAGTTTTTTAAGTTGACACATGATTCATTTCTTTGGGTTATATACATAAAAGTGCAATTTCTGGGTCATATAATTAATTTGTTAAAATTTTAGAGGATGGTTTTAAAAAGTGACTAATACATTTTACATTTTCACCAGAAATGTATAATTGTTCCTGTTTCTCCACATCCTAGCTAACAGTGGTAATCTGTCTTTTTTATTCCAACTATCATAGTAGATACTAAGTGGTATCTCATTGTAGCTTTAACTTTTATAATTACAAGTAATGTTGAACATCTTTTTGTGTGCTTATTGACCATTTGTATATCTTCTATGGATAAATGTTTATTCAAATTCTGTGTTTATTTTACAAACTGCATTATTTGCCTTTTATTATTGAGATGTAAGAGTTCTTTATATACTGTGGATATATGTTCCTTATTAGACATATGATTTGAATATATTTCCTTCTATTATGTGAGTTATTTTTAAAAATGTATTGATGGTATTATTTACATAATCTCACATAATTTTTAAAGCTTTCATTTAAGATGCTCATCAACAACACCATGAAAATTATTGAAAATGTCTTACCCGAACTATTTCACAGTCAACATTTAATTCACTTGCAACTGCTTCAATTTTTTCTCTACAGATAGATCCAAGGCTCGTCATGCCATTGTCCCAGTACTTCTTAAGGGTGGCTAAGTCTCTGTCACTGAACTGAGTGCGGTCTTGTAGCTGTAGAACAAATTTTAAAAATTAGAATAATCAAAAGAAATACTACTATAGATAGGATCATCCTGGTGAGATGTGTTATGTTACTTTCAATATATACATTAGTTAAACTAATTATGTAATTCTTACTCTGTGTTCCCCCATTTTGAAATGGGCATTTTCATGACATTTATAACATCAAAATTCCCATGATATTTATAACATGATTTTATAACATGAAAGTGTACTAGAATAAAAATTTTAGCTGATGGCAATTAAGCGATGTTTATTGTAAAGGGTTATAATCACACAAATAATTTATGTCATTGTAAAAATTACAGATACATTTTAAAAAGAAGAGAATTTCAATTACACACAATCCTGAAAATAACATTTGTTAACATTCTAATGTATATTCTTTCAACCTTTTTTCTATGTTATATACATTTATATTCACACTACATATATTTTAAAAATAACAGGGTTAGGTGCTGGCCAGATTGCTCAGTTGGTTGGAGCGTCATCCTGTGCACCAATGAGTTGTGGTTTGATTCCCAGTCAAGGTACATAACTAGGTTGCAGATTTGATCCCCAGTTGGTGCACCTTCAATGTATCTCTCTCACCTGGATGTTTCTCTCTCCCTCTCTCTTCCTTTCTCTCTAAAGTCAATAAAAATATCATTTGCAACAACCTGGATGGAATTTGAGAACATCATGCTGAGTGAAATAAGCCAGTCAATGAAAGAGAAACACCACATCACCTCACTCATTTATGTATAATAAAGAACATTATAAACTGATGAACAAAAAGTTAGATACAGAGACAGTAAAGCAACAAACAGACTGTCAAACTACAGCGGGGAGGATAGGGAGATACGGGGGAGATTAGAGATCAACCGAAGGACTTGTATGCATGCATATAAGCAAAACCAATAGAAGAAAAACTCTGGGGGGGGGATTTTTGGCAGTGGAGGGGGGGCAATGGAAAGATATGTACACATATAATACCTTAATAAAAAAAAAGTTAAAAAAAAACTATATCTTGAAGAATGGATTTAAAAAAAAAATAAAAACAGGGTCAGGATTACATCACTGTGCTGCCTTTTGATAATGTAATCTAAATTTCCATACACATAGCTTCCTTACAAATGTTATAATTAATTAAAAAGGCATATAAAAATTTAAGAAGATAATGTAGTCCTAAGACAACAATCATATTTATGACTTTAGGGAGTTTCATAATTAGCCTATCCTTTTTGTTCTTAGGGTTTTTAAACAAATAAATTATGGACTTTATATATTGTTTTAATTCAATAAATCCTGGCATCCCTAGGAAGTAAATTAGAAGCAAGATAGAATATTGATCTCCAATTTGCTGATAAAGAGTCAGGGGAAAAAAAGGGTCAAAGGACACATTCAACAGGGCATAGAGAGTCCATGGCAGATATAGAAATGGGAATATTCTGATTTTATTCTAGTAGCTTTATCCCTATGATGTCTTCAATTATCTCAAGAGGTGGTGAAAAAAACTAAAAATGAATTTTAATTAAAATATATCCTGTAAAGCCATATATGTGTATGTGTTTGTTTATGATGAGAGTAAGTGTGAGAGAGCTAAAGAGCAAGAGAAAGCCCATGAGAGTGAGTGAGTTGATAGCAACAGTTACAAATAATGGCATGAGGAATAAGGCTGCCTTTGCCTAAGAAGATATGGTCTGGTCCCACATTGAAGCTAGACTTCAGATCCTTCCCATACACATACTGCTTTCAGCATTTCCTTTCCAGCAGAAATTTAAAGTGAAATAATGGGTAATAATGGAAAATAATGTATATAATATATAAAATATAAATAAAGTTATCATAGTTAAAACTCACGTAATACCACACAATAGGAACAAATTTGTTTTGAAGCTACTTCCTTTTGAAAAGGAATTTTAGCTATCATGAAGAAAATCAATATGTGAATTCTTCATTTTCTACCATGATATTGGACATAGAGTATATAATTAATGTGTCTCTTCATAAGAAATATAGTACATTTTTGTTTGTGTTAATTTCCTTATTGCTAAATCTGTTCTTCCACTTCTTAAAAAAAAAAAAAAAACACTGATAATAACATTTACTTCAAGTACTAGTACAAATGACATGTTCCCAATAAATAAACCAAGACATGCCATCCAAAGTTTTAATAAAATGGAATACCCCTCAAGTTATTTACAACATAAAAATCTCATTAGGTACCCATCCTATATTGATTGTTCAATACTTGTGAAGATAAACTTCTGAATATAAAACTGAAAGCAAAATAAATGGTAGTAAGGTCCATCATAACAGCCAGCATAAATATTCTCATATTTTTCCATTGCTATTGCACCAAATTCTTCAATGCAAGCTAGCCTAAATTACTGTCAGAAAGGAAGAAATGAACAAAAACTGAAACACACTCAGGCAATTAATTTGTAATTCATTTAGAGGACATCCAAAGCTGATTCATCTCTTAAACTGAACTAAATAAAACCTGATTTGATTTGTTAGAAACATGCTGGATGTCATACTTAGCAATGCTGAAAATGACTTATGGCAATACCTATGAAGTAGAAACTTATGGAGGAAGAATGGTTATTTTTAAAGCCCCTAAAAGCTTTAAATAATAAAATCTATAATAATAAAAGCCTAAGCGACCATCACAACTGAACAGACGACCAAACAGGATGTGTGGGATGACTAGGGCATCAGGGGTGTTAGTGAGGGACGACTGCAGAGGGGGCTACGGATCAGGCCCAGAGAGAGGCCGGCAGAGAGAGGCAGGGTCTCCATGGCAGCTGTTGATCAGCCATTGCCTCTTTCTTTCTCTCCCAGCTGTGCCAGCAGCCACGCCTCTGTTTCTCTCTGGGCCTTCTCTGGGGCTGTGATCAGCTGTGCCTCTTTGATCACCCAGAGATAGACCCAGACACACTGACTAGAATAGAAACTGTCCAATCAGAACCAAATCTGGGTGAAGTGCCAGGAGCCAATGGCTGCCTAGGAGGCGGAGCTTTTGACACTGATTGGCATAAAAACCAACCAATCAGAACCTAATCTGAGTGAACTACGAAGGCAGAATCTAAGGTGGGGGTTTAGGAGGGAGGGGTTTTAAGGGCAACAGCTGTTTGGTGTAAGGTATAAGAAAGCGGTTCAATTTTTTCATGACCAGTTTGGTAGTATCGATATATTGCATACGGCTGGTTATCAGTCCAGATATAGGGATTATGTGTTTTTGTCTGCCAAGAGCATCTCCTCCTGCTTAAAAAGGCTTTCCCACCCCTCCACCCCCATTTAAGCAATCCTATCCTATATAATCTATCTGTACTACTAAAAGGGTAATATGCTAATTAGACCAGGTCAAATGGCCATCTTCTGGACCTCCAACTTCCTCTGGACAAAGCCATGGTGGAGGGAGCTGAGACAGAGGCAGTTAGGGGTGAGCAAGATGGCAGGGAAGGACAGTTAGGGGTAACATCAGGCTGGCAGAGAAGGTCTATTGGGGTCAAAATCAGGCCGGCAGGGGAGGGCTGTTGGGGGAAAAATCAGGCCAGCAGGGGAGGGCTGTTGGGGGCAAGATCAGGCCAGCAGAAGAAGCTTGCTAGTGGTGAGATCAGGCCAGCAGGGAGGGCAATTGGGGGCAACCAGGCTGGCAGGGGAGGGCACTTGAGTGCAAGATCAGGCCAACATGGGAGGGCAGTTAGGTGTGATCAGGCAGGTAGAGGCAGTTGGGGGCGAGACCAGGCCTACAAAGGAGGACAATTAGGGGTGACAAAGCCAGCATAGGAGGGCAGTTGGGGCCAACCAGGCTGGCAGAGGAGGGCAATAAGGGGTGACCGGGCTGGCAGGGGAGGGCAGGTGGGTGTGACCAGGCCAGCCGTGGAGGGCAGTTGGGAGCAATCAGGCCAGCAGGGGAGCGGTTGGGAGAGGGATGTCCAACTGCCAGTTTTGGGCTGATCCCACAGTCAGACATCCCCCAAGCAGTCCCTGATTTGAGAGAATATAGGCTGGGCTGAGGGAACCTCCCCACCCCCCATCACAAATTTTATGCACTAGGACCCTAGTATTAATTATATTCCCTATGCTATATTCACATCCCTAGGCAGTTGTAACTACTAATTTGTATTTCTTAAACTCTTCACCCCTTTCATCAAGTTCTCCAAACACTCTATTCTGGTAACATCAGTCTGTTCTCTTTATATATGAGTCTATTTCTCTTTTGTTTATTTTGTTCTTTTAAATTCCACATGTAAGTGAAACCATGTGGCACTTGTCTTTCTCTGACTTATTTCACATAGCATAATATCCTCTAGGTCCATCAAAGCTGTCATTAATGGTAATATTTCATTCTGTTTAATAGCCCAATAATACCACGTATATTTGTACCAACACTTTCTTATCCATTCATCTATTCATGGGTACTAAGTTGCTTCCATACCTTGGTAATTGTAAATAACGCTGCAATGAATATAAGGGTGCATATATTCTTTTGAATTGGTGTTTTGGGTTTCTTTCGATAAATATCCAGAAATGGAATCGCTGGGTCATAAGACAGTTCCATTTTTAATTTTTTTAGTAACAACATATTGCTCTCCACAATGACTAAATCAATCTGTGTTCCCACCAACAGTGCACATCTAGATCAACATGTAATTGCTTGTTGATTGATTGAAGACAACCATTCTAACTGGTATGAGGTGACATTGTGGTTTTAATTTGCATTTATCTGATAATTAATGTCATTGAGACCTTTCGATATGTTTATTGGCCTTCTGAATGTCCTCTTTGGAGAAATGTCTCTTCAGGTTCTCTATTGATTTTTCCACTTGATTTTTTTTAGTGTTGAATTCTTCAAAAATTTTAGATATTTAACTACTAAGGATGTATCATGAGCAAATATGTTCTTCCATTCAGTAGATTGTCTTTTCATTTTGTTGATGATTTCCTTGCTTTACAAAAACTTTTTAATTTGTTGTAATCTCAATTTGTTACTTTTTTTCTTCTGTTTCCCTTGCAGAAAATATATTGCTAGGAGAAATCCATATATCTATATATCTATATATCTATATATCTATATATCTATATATCTATATATCTATATATCTATATCTGTATCTGTATCTATATCTATATCTGTATCTATATCATCTATATCTATATCTATATCTATATATCTATATATCTATCTATCTATATCTATATCTATATCTATATCTATATCTATATCTATCTATATCTATATATATATATATAAATCAGTATCGGTCTTGACCAGGATGACCAAAGGACTGACCATTAGTCTCTCCCTGGCCCATAGGGGACTGGCAAGCTGTGGCAGGTGGCAAACAGTGAGTGGCTCATGCAGGGCCAGCCCCTATCTTGCCCCCTCCAGCAGCACAGTGGAGCCCATGCCAGGTGGAGGCAGAAGAGTCACATCCCACACCCCACCAGGTTCTCAGACCCCTGTGCCAGCATCGAGACCTCGGATTCCTGCGCTTTGTTATCCGCCACAACTCCGTGGCCCTGGCACTGCCCAGGCAAAAGTTTTGTACGCCTCATCTATCCAGCCCGGAGCCAGTTTCTCCATCAACACTTGCCATCTGCTGCCCACCTGCTGCTCAGACACCCAAGCCAAGAACTTGCTGCAGGGAGGGCCCAGATATTCCTTCCCACCCCCAAGGGTCTGGCGGCCTTGGCAGCACCTGAGCCCATGATCTGCCCCTGGTATGATGGGTCTGGGCTAGAGATCCACAGCCCCTCCTCTGCAATGTCCCACTCATCAGTGGAGGAGGGGGCAGCCTCCCTCCTTTCCAGCTCCAGGATCCCAGAACAGAGGCTTGGGTGCGTCTCCGTCTCCAACACCCTTCGAAACCCTGGGAAGAAGTGCCTGCCCACCCAGCCAGGACTGGTACCTCAGGCCCCCCATCCTTATGAGCCCACACCCAGCCCCGCCAGTGGCTGCCACTTCCCTCAGCCATCAGACTACAGGCACGGGAAGAAAGGAGGAGTGAAGCTATTGGTATGACTCTGTGGGGTTCAGTGAGCCTTCCTGAAATCTCTCCCTGTGTGCCTCCCTGTTCTGCTTTTGTCCAGGGGACCCCACCCCTGACACATGTTCACCAGGGTTGCCACCATCTTGGGAAGGTTAATGCCTGGCTGACTGCCAAGGCCTCAGACAGTAGATGCCCCGCAGTTGCCATGACAAAGAGGTCATGAAGGGTCAAGACACTGCCTCTGATCAAAGCAGGTGCTGTGGGAGCAAAGGGACAAAAAAAATGCTTATGTCCAACAGCCATCTAATCCACACGTAGTGTGCAAATTAGTCATTGTTGGAACCGAATTTAGTACTGGTGTGCCCCATTTTAAGCAGACCCCCCAAATAAACTTACCATATTGGTAATCCACTTTACTACAGAAAGAATGCATAAAGATTCTTAAAATAAGCAAAATATTTTACACCTCATATTAGGAAACATTTAAACACCATTAAAAATAATCTCTATGAGTAAAAAGAGTTGATATTAGCAAAATCTAATATACTCAATTCAAAATGTCATTCAGAAATGCATCTTCTATGTAAAATCGAAGTATGGGATCTAAGATTTGGAAAAAGCAACTTTACTCCATTCTACATGCTCATCCCCTCAGCCTTAGGCTTTGAACAAAAGTCTAAATTAGGGGTGTCGAACTCAATCAGAGAAGGGGCCAAAATCTAAAATCCAGCCTAAATCGCGGGCCGAATGGTTTACTGAACAGTCATAAACTGTCATTGTGATGGAAACGCAGCGGAGTGCAGTGATGACAGCGCGGTGCGGGCCACATTGCAAGGCCTGGTGGGACGGATTTGGCCCGCGGGCCTTGTGTTTGACACATGTGGTCTAAATAAAGAGATGGATCAGAATAAAAAGTAATGCCTTATGGCACTGAAATGTATCAGTTTCTTCAACAAATATTTATAAAAGTTGTATTAACTTTGTGCCTGTACTATAGAAACACAATACAGCTCTGTCCCTATCTTCAAAGTGCTTAAAGTCTGTGAGTTCCCAGTAAGGTAAACCTCTAAACAGCCAAAGAAGGAGCAAGTCCCAATACAATTCTTATTAGAAAAATTACTGAGTAAAAACTGTCCTCACTCTCCCTAGAACAAGAATTAAAAGGAGCAAATAAATATAATGAATGAATCCAAACTCCTTTGGGGACCCCCACCTTCAGGAACTAACACAGGTTTTGTGAGGCCTAAAGTTTACTGAACCTGAAGGACTAATTTTAGGGGGGGGGGGGGGATTAAGGTTCAAAAATGACTTCATTTAGAATAAAAAAAAATTACAAATAACTGTAGCTTGGGGAATCTGTCCCTTTCTCTTTTAAATCAATTCAGGGAGGTTATCCAAAATACTGTTGGTTGCAACTTGCTTGTTCTCTTCCCAATAACAAATCCAGCCCTCACATGGGTTCTGAAGCTTCCTTAGCATTGCCATAAAAAGAAAAAATTAAAAAATTAAAAGAAAACAAAACACTCTTTTCTGAACAAAATTCTTTCCTTTTAAACTTTTTAATTTTATCAAAGTAGTAAATACATAGTTCATAATGTATCATTTTTACCTAATAGGTGTGTAGAGTAGTGGTATATCATTGTTGCTTTTATTCTATTGTTGACACTATTATAGATGTTTCCCATTTCCCCTCATTTACTCTCCTGCACCCAGCCCCCCCACCTCTAACCATCACCACACTTTTGTCTATGTCCACCCCATTCCCCTCTGACCTGTCAGTCTATCCCATCCAATATAATAAAAAGCTAATATGCAAATCAACCCAACGGTGGAACAACCAATCATTATGATGCACACTGATCACCAGGGGGCATATGCTTAATGCAGGAGCTTCCCCCGGTGGTCAGTGTGCTCCCACAGGTGGAGTGCCACTCAGCCAGAAGCCCTGAGATGGGATCATGGCTGGCAAGTGCAGAAGTGGTGGTGGGAGCCTCTCCCACCTCCATTGCAGAGCTAAGGATGTCTAATTGCTGGCTTGGGCTCACTCCCCTGAGGACATCCCCGAGGGTTCCTGGACTGCTAGAGGACACAGGCCAGGCTTAGGGACCCCAGCCATATGCACATTGGGGGCGACCAGGTCAGCAGGAAAGGGCTTTTAGGGGTGACCAGGCAGGCAGGCAGAGGTGGTTAGGGGCAATCAGGCAGGCAGGGGATCAGTTAGGGGCAATAAGAAGGCAGACTGTTGAATGGTTAGCAGCCAGGGGTCTTGGATTGCAGAATTGGGCTTAAACTGGCAGTCAGACATCCTCTGAGGGGTCCCAGGTTGGAGAGGGTGCAGGTGGGGCTGAGGGACCCCCATGCACAAATTTCATGCACTGGGCCTCTAGTTTTAGATATTTTACTGCTTATGCTTTCTTCTAGGAGTTTTATGGTTTTGAGTCTTAACATCTTTAATCCGTTTTGAGTTTATTTTGGTATATGGTGTAATAAAATGGTCTAGTTTCATTTTTGGATATATCTGCTCAGTTTGCCCACACAATTTATTGAATAGACTGTATATACACCATTATATATTCTTACCTACTTTCTCATATATTAATTGAGCATCTAGGTGTAGGTTTATTTCTGGGCTTTCTATTCTGTTCCATTGATCCATGTGTCAGTTTTTATTCCAGTCCATTGCTGTTTTGAGTGTTATAGTCTTGTACTATAGTTTGATATTTGGTAGCCTAATACTTCCAAGTTTGTTCTTCTTTCTTAAGATTGTTGTGGCTCTTCATGGCCTTTTGTGATTCCAGACATTTTTAAAAATTATTTGTTCTATTTCTGTAAAAAATGTCAATGGTATTTTGATGAGAATTGAGTGGAATCTACAAATTGTTTTGGGAAGTATGGATATTTTAATTAATGATTTCACTTCCTACCAATAAGCAAGGTATATGTTCTATTTATTTGTAGCTTCTTCAGTTTCTTTCTTCAGAGTCATATAATTTTCTGAGTACTGGTCTTTTACCACTTTGGTAAAATTTATTTCTAGATATTTTATTTTTTATGCAGTTGTTAGGGATCATGAGATGTATAGCTTGTGTAACTTTCTGCCATTTTGTGGGGACAAAATACCATGTAGTTCCTCCAAATCTTTGAGTCCCTAACCAGTTGCTTTCTTTCCATCCTTCAAATTCTACTTTGGTGGCCTCCTGTATAACTTGCATGGTATATAGTTCTATTTCGTGCAGGAATAAAAAGGAGTCTATATAATCCTGTCCAGTACTACTGTCCTGGCTTCCATTTTATTATATCCAAACCTATCTAACATTCAATAACTTGAGTTATCTTTCTAAAAGTCTATTCATGTCTCTTGTATATTAAAATATTTTAATAATTTCCCATGTATGGACTAGTTACACCAAAATTTCCTGATGTACTTGTTAAATGCAGATTTATTGTCCTCTACAGACCAACTGAGCAGGCTTTGATGAGAAAACACAACTTCAATGTAGTTCTGTTATATTCATATTATAAACATCACAAAAGTTATATCATAAAAACAAAATTGTTAAAATATTAGTTATTCATCACTGGTAAATACCAAAGTGTACTACTACTAATATAGATTATTTAATGTTGACTGAGATGTTTATATCAATCATAATTCAATCATATAATCAAATTAACTGGGTTCATTAGAAGTACTGTAAAAAAGTATGATGTTGTACTAATTATCTCTGAATGCTTTTTAAAACTGCAAAAACCTTCTCAAGGATTATTTAGTGTGCTGATTACTGCATTTTATTTGTTACCTTTGTAGCATGTATAAATAATATGATCACAAAATATGATCTTTGAGATAATGCAGTCTTATTGAGGTTCAGTTTTGCCAACTTTACAAATATTATTATAGTTTTCTCAGTGACATTCCTACTAACACCATAGGAGAAAACACATTTATTCCTTTAAATGAAAGATTACTTACTGCTCTTTTTCTAGAACACCCTGTAATCCAAGGCACAGTTAGATTTCCTGAAATCTGTGGAAACAACAAATGGAATCTCAGTAAGGTAGGCATTACTCCGACTTGGAAAGGTGATCAACACACACACAAAAAAATTCATATAAGACTTCAAGACAAGTTTTCATTCAGAGCATATTCTCCACCTAGACAATTCTGTTTTCTTACTGAATGCAACAGACTTAAAGGGCCTTCTTTGGTGGGGAAATTTTAGAAGTGGTGCAAAGTTCCCCTGAAAATTTAAGACACATTATGGGACATTGTTAAGGCCTGGAAATCTATGGACAATAACATTTTTATAATAAAATTGCAGTGTTCTGTGAGATGAGTTACAATAATTAAATTATTAACTGTAGTCATGTTGTATATTAGGTCTCAAGATTTATTCGTCCTACATAAATTTAAGTTTATTTTAAAGCAGAAACTGCTAAGACAAATAAATACCTAGCAGCAGCTTACTATGTCAGCATTGCCACACAAGTAGATACTACTCCAGTTGGATTTGGGGGGATTGTTATAGAGACCAAGCTGATTCTATGAACTATGCCTCTTTAGCCTGTACTTTATCACACTTTTTTCCTGGGGATAGACAAAGTTTTGAAGTACTTCAAATTCTCACTTGCCCTCTCCTTCCTTCTCAAATGCATACCTCTTGAGAAACTGATAAGGCAAATCAATATTGCTAAGTGGTGGGAAAATGGTATTCAATGAAGCATTTATTGTGTTTGATGAATTATATTCAGACATAGCCTATGAATTACTATTATGCCTACTAATAAGAAGTGATGATTAGTCAATGTAAATAGTTAAGTAATATTGTCAATTATTTAAATTATTAGAGGCCCAGTGCACAAATTTTGTGTGTGTCCCTCAGCCCAGCCTGAACCCTCTTTAATAGGGGACCCCTCTCACAATCCAGGACTGCTGGCTTCCAACTACTCACCTACCTGCCTGCCTGATTGCCCCTAATTACTCCCCTGCCAGCCTGATAGAAACCTAACTGACCAACAGCCAGCCCGATTGCCTATAACAGCCCTCTTCTGCTGGCCTGGTTTTTCCCAACTTCCCTCCCCTGAAGGCCTGATCCCCCACCCAAATTCCCACCCTGCAGGCCTAGGTCCCCCCCAACTGTCCTACACTGCTGGCCTGGTCTCCTCAGCTGCCCTCCTCTGCTGGCCCAGTCACCCCTAACTGCCCTCCCTTGCTGGCCTGATCGCCTACAATTGCCCTCCCCTGCCAGCTATTTGTGGCAGCATCTTGTGTCCACATGGGGGCAGCCATATTTGATCACATAGGGGCGGCCATCTTGTGTGCTGGAGTGACCGTCAATTTTAATATTACTCTTTTATTAGATAGAATTACTATCCTTAGTTATTATACTTACCATTTTACTTTGAGTTCAAAATACACCAATATGATAAGGATAGGCTACACTGATGTAAACTCCAAATAATATTTTCAAGAAAAATTTTAAAATATATTTACTCAAGTTAAAATCCCACTACAGTAAAATGCCAATTAACTAGAATCACTGAGGGTCATGAAGTTTGATAATTTATTTTTAAAATAGTAAACTGAGAGTGATAACAAAACTTCTATGGAAATATTATTTAAAATATATAGTTTCTTGTCTTCGCACCAATAATTGGCATATGATATAATGTTTATAAGCTAAATTGATTGCTAACCTCAATGAAGGAGGTAACGCTGCTAAAATAATCATATAATATACTCTTGAAATAATAGAGATATCCAACTATTATGGACTATCTCTTTACATACTCCCATTTATTAGGATAATGTTTAAACTGACTATATAATGTCATTAGAGAAAATATGTTAAACCAAATGAATTACAAGAGACCCAGTAACTATTAAAAACTTACATATAAAATAGTACATATAATAAAAACAGTTAATGTAGTATCTTTAAAGATGGACACTATACATTTTAATAATATAAAATGTGTTTTTTTGCTTAAGCCAATTGCATGTAATGAATAAAACTGAAAACTTCTGTGACCACATTAATATACCAATGCTATAAATTCCATGAGATTTGTGAAGAGATGGCTTTCACTTTTTTGTCTTATAGCCCTCTATTGTTGGCTTTGAATCTCTTCTTAAGTTCTGTATATTTCTGGTAAAACTCAAAACACCCAGGGATAGTAGTTGAATTTGTAAGCTTTTTTGATTCAAAGTACTGTATAAATATGTTTCCCATCCAACTTGGGAAATTTTCTTTTGTGCAAGAGTGATGGCAAAGTTTCTCCTTCACTAGAAACTATAAAATACAATATTTCAAAATAGCAAGAAAATATGATTCTTGTTTAAATAATATTTAAATTCCAAATATATTTTTAACATCCTAGTTTAGAAAACTGCAAAATTCTACAAAGAATCAAGATGCAGTTGACAAATATGTTATAACTCATACATTCAAATGAGTACTGTATGCTTCAAACTAGAAAACTTAGAAAGTTATAAAGTCATTACAATGATATTGTAATTATTGAAATCATTTAAGGAGCTCTCCTTTTGAAGTTTTTTGTTCATAACTCATCCAGAGATTCTATATCATTGCTTCATATTTCTTTTTCAATAACTGAAAATATAACAGCCCAGATTGAACATTTATATTATTCACTAAACCTGACTAAGAATAAATTTTACTTTCCAAAATCAAATTTTCCCTAAAATGATGAAGATTTGTCACAGCTGAAAGCTTTTTAAATAATCCCATAGGCCCTTAAAACAATTGTGAAGGACTTCAAAAACTTTTTGACAAATTGAACGTTATTGCAATAAGTATAGATAACTTCCAAAGGTAACTTCCAAAGGTAACTTATTTGAATTCTGTTCAAATATTTATCAGGCATCTCTTCTGTACTAGGTTCTATACATAAAATAAAACTAAGATAGGTAAAACATAACTTCCTGAAGGGCAAGACCTACGATCTGAGAAGGAAAAATAAGACAGGTACATGAGTGACTTTATACAAAGAAAGCTTATGATAAGTGTCTTAAGGGAGGTACAATAAATGAAGTGTTATAGAAAATTAACATATGGAAAAATTGCATCAACTTGAGTAATGATATCTTAGCCAAATCTTAAAAGATGAGAAGAATTTTGATAAGCAGAAATAAAAAGCACTCTGGGGGAAAAGAGTAGTATGAGTAAAAGGGAGTTAGGGGTCACCTTGTGAAGGCCATGAATACCAAGTACATTTATATCTAACTAAAGGCTCAGTGCATGGATTCATGCACTGGGGGGGGGGGGGGGGGGGGGCGCATGGCTCATCCCGGTCAGCTGAATGGCTATGGACCGCCCTCTGAGTGGCTGTTGAATAGTCTGAACTGATATTTCAGGGTAATGTCTTGGATAAAGGCATGGTCTGTGTCCTGGAGGAACCTGGCAGAGAGCTTTGCACCCCAAAGCCACTCAGTGAATGTCTTTGATGTGTGATGCCAGGTCGGTGACACCATCAGGGATGTTCAAAGCAGCTGTGCTCCAGTATTTTCAGCCATCAGGACAGCCTCCCTGGGGTGTCCACAGTCATGTCCCCTCTTGCCATCCACCTATGCAGCTCCCTGTGCTCTTTCTAGAACACACATTAGAAGGCCTGCATCAGCTGGTGGGGTCAGGCCAGAGTCTAGATTGTCTCAGGTATTTGATAGGTGCAGAGACTCAGTCTCACCCTGGGCCTGCTAGCGGCTGCTCCTGGTGTGGGAGTAGCCATTTTAGTCAAGAGGTAGGTAATCCAGGCTTGGAACTAAATTAGTGGAGGTAGAAACTGAGAAGAGAAATATAAAACATATTTCTAAGGAAAAATCTTGTGCATGAGATAGAATAAAACTAGACAGTCTATTGATTACTAAAGTAGTCTTTTTATGGACATCATAAAATTGAATGTAAATGCAAGGAAGTGCCTAACAGAAATCTACTATTCTTGGCTAATAGTAGATACACTTGTTTTAATATAAACGGAAATCACATTATGTGGCTAGTTAAGGCTTGTGAATCCAATTATCAATGCTTATCTTTCTCATGAAAAATTATACTTATTGTACAATAGATACCATAAATACCACATATTAGAATATTAATTATATGTTATATATAATCATTACTATATATTGTTACATATTCGAAGAAAGGCATCTATATAGTTACTTTGATAAATTATATAAAAAATTTAAAGAAATTTTACTATATTTATTTTTATAAAATTTAGACTCTAAATATAATTCTGCTATAATATTTCTGCTAAGCTATGAGCTTATAAGGGCAGGATATCATGTTTAAAACAGTTTAGTCTAACTATTTTTATAGAGTTAGAGGGGATATAGACAAAAATGCATTTGTTTGATTTCAAAAATTTGTTCTATTATAAAGACAATTCTACACATGTTGGATATTCTATTTAAAATATTTAATGCAAATTTAGGAGGTTAGTAAAGTTCTTATGTGAAATAAATTTTATGTTAGGAAAACAAACTATATTAGTAATACGTCATTAAATGAAATTTGATTTACTGAAACAATCAGACAATAACTATGTCTTTCAGCAAAGTTCAGCAGTAAGAGATTCATAAATCAATGTTTTAGCTTTCTGTCAGTTGTTTTGTTATCAGTTGAGCATTAAAACCTATCAATCATTCTGTTTTAATAAGCAGTGTTTCCTAGATTTTTTCAATTATGAGGTATAGTGCACGGAGGGCATGGCTGGGCATGTGGTAGGCAATCAATACATTTATAGGCTGATGGATTGGTTGAATTCACTTGAGCCTTCATTATTCACTAGCTTCACTTGCTGAAATTTAACAAAAGGCCAAGAGTATAAATATACAAGGCTCCGTTACATGGAGTAGGTAGTGGGAGGAGGGGAATAGGTGCTTCAGGTTGAAAACAATGTGCTCAGGAGCAAAGGAGAAAATATGTAGTGCCTTATTTTAAAATATCCACCACCCCTCTTCTCTCTACCTACTCTGGAAAAGCATTTAGAAGTAAATAAGCC